CCCCTCTGCCCTGGGGGCCCCAGGGGCCCCGGGGGCCCCCAAGCTGCTGGGGGGCCCCCCAGAAGTGTGGGGCCCCGAGGGAGGCTGGGGGCAGCAGAAAGGGCTGGGAGTGGAGATAAGGAGAGGGACTAAAGAAGCTGCGGTGGGCCCCACTCTTTGGGAGAAGGAATGGCTGCTGCTGCTGCTGCTGCTGCTGCTGCTGCTGTTGAAGAGTCGGCGGCGCAGGAAATCTGAAGCAGAAGCTGTGCAGGTAACGGGGGCGCAGAAGCAAAGGTTTGGGGCCGCACGAAGCTCGAGGCAGCGCTGCTGCTGCTGCTCTTTCTGCTGCTGCTGCAGCTGCCGACGCTGCTGCACGGGCAGCAAACGGGAGGGGGGCCCCCATGGGCCCGCAAACTCTCAAGAGAGCCCCCCAGTGCTGCCTGCAGCACCACATTGTGGGGCCCCTTTCAGGTTGCTGCTGTCATGGTTGCGCAGCTGCAGCTGCTGCTCCTGCTTCTAGTCTTCTGCTGCTGCTGCTGCTGCTGCTGCTGCTCCGCTGCTGCAGCAGCAAGACGCACAGCACACGCGCAGACTATCAACCTGAGGCAGAGGCCCAAAATAAATAATAACAAAAGCTTCGATGTTCAAAAATGAAAGAAAGCGGGCACGGCTGTGCTGCCACTGCTGCGGCTGCTGCTGCTGCTGCTGCTGCTGCTGCTCGTGCAGCAGCAGCAGGAGCTCGACGGGGCCCCTGGGGCCCCCCGCCCTCCCGCGTCCCTCAAAGCCTTTTGATTTATTTAAATTATTTGCAAAAGTTAAAATACTTTTTTAAAGCTAATGCAGAACTGAAAGCTGCAGACTGCTGCCTCTTAAAGAGTAAAATGTGGGGTGTACATACACCTGAGAGCTCCCGGCTCGTCTGCTGCTCCCAGCAGCAGCAAAAGCTGCTGCCTTCCTTTCTTTTCCGTGTCTTCTTCCCCAATTATATTTGATAAATGTCTTCCTTTGTTGCTGCCGGATGCTTCTCCGTTGCTGCCGCTGCTGCTGCCGTTGCTGCTGCTGTTGTTGCCAGCTGCTGCTCCTACTCCTGCTGCTGCTGCTGCTGCTGCTGCTGCTCATAAGCGAAGCCAAAAGAGGGGCCCCACTGAGAAGGCCCTGTGTGTCTGGGCTGTTGGACTTGAGCTGCTGCTGCGCTGGTCTCTCTTTGCTGCTGCTGCGGCTGCCCCAGCTGCAGCAGCTGCAGCGACAGCGCTGCAGCTGCTGCAGCAGCAGCTGCTGCTGCTGCCACTGCTGCTGCTGCTGCTGTTGTAGTTCTCTCTCATTTGCCACTTCCCGCTGCAGCGGCAGCAAACCCTGGAAGCTCTTGTGTTTAGCGCAAGTCAAAAGATTTAGAGTTTACATTATCCAACTTGCTCCTTATTTTTGCTCTTTTTTGTTTCTTTTTTGTTTCTTTTTTGTTGTTTTGGTTCTTTGTTTCTTTCTGTTTTAGTTTTTTGTTTCTCTTTTTCTTTTTTTGTTCCTTTTTGTTTCTTTCGGTTTCTTTTTTGTTTCTTTCAATTTCTTTTTTCTCTTTTTCGTTTTATTTTATCGTTTTTTGTTTCTTCTTTTCCTTTCTTGTTTATTTTTGCTTGCTTTTTGTTTCTTTTCTTCTTTTTTATTTTTTTGCTTCTTCTTTTCGTTTCTTTTCTGTTTCTTTTCTTCTTTTTTGTGTATTTCAAAACTCTTTTTGTTTCTATTTATTTCCTCTCTTTTTGTTTGTTTTTTAATTTTTTGCCATTTTTATCGCTTTTCTTTTTCTCTGTTTCTCATTGTTTCTTTTTGTTTCTCTGTTTCATTTTGTTTCTTCCTACTTCCTTTTATTTCTTTTTTTCTTCTTATCTCGGTTTATTTCCTCTTTACTTCATTTTATTTCGTGTTAACTCTTTTATTTCTTTTTAATTTCTTTTCATCTTTTTTCTTTTTTCTTTTTTAAATCTTTTGGAAGTCCTTTCGTTTAGCCTGGAGTCTTTTGGCGGAGATACAGCACCTCAAAGGAACGAAAGAAGACAATTAAACTAAAATTAAAAATTAAAATTGGAAGTAAAAGATTTGAAATTAAATTAATTAAAAAGTGAATTAATTCTCTATTAATGGACACTTCTGCTGCTTCTTGAGCCACTGTTGCAGCCCCCTGTACCTGGAAGCAAAAGATAAAAATTATTTTTCATCTTTATTTATTTGTTTTGTTTAAATTCATTTTTGCCTCTTTTCCCTGTCTCTTAATTTAGCTGCTGCTGCTGTTTCTGGAGCTGCAGCAGCAGCCCGGAGGTGCCCCCTTGCTACTGTTCTGCGTTTATAGCCCTTCGCTCTGCTGCTGCTGCTGCTGCTGCTGCTGCTGTTTCTCTGTGGCTTCTTTTGCTGTGTCTCTGGCTGTCTTTCTGTCTCGGCGCTGTCCCCGGGGACAACTCCTGCGCCTGCTGCTGTCTCTGACTGCCTCTGAAGCAGCAGCAGCAGCAGCAGCAGCAGCCGCGAAGGCGGCGGCAGCAGCAGCAGCACTCACAGTCCTCGTAGCAGCAGCAACAGCACAGTGATGGTAGCAGCAGCAGCAGCTGCAAAGGAACAAGTAGCAGCAGCAACAGCCAGAGCAGCACAGTCACGTCAGCAGCAGCAACAGCAGTGACAGCACCGGCTGCTGCAGCAGCAGCAATGGCAGCATTAGCACCACCGGTAGAAGCACCGGCAGCAGCAGAAACAGTAGGAGTAGTTGCAGCAGCGGCATCAGCAGCAGCAGCAGCAGCTACTCCACCTTGGTCTAAGACTAGACGCTCCTACAGCTACTGTTTTAGGCTGCACCCAGTGCAGGCAGAGCAGCAGGAGGAGCAGCAGCAGGCTGGTGCTGCAGCAGCAGGCTGCTGCTGCAGCAGGAAGCCCGGGGAGGAGCCGGGGGAGCAGCAAAGACAGGAGGGGAGGCCCCAGGGGCCCCCCCCGGGGGTTTTGAGAGCGGCGTCGCTCGTGAGGGGCCCCACAGGCACTCTGCAACAATTAATAAATTAATTTGGCAGCTAAAATGGACCAAAAGGGGCGGAGGAAGACAGGGGCTGGGGAGCACTGGGGGCTTGGGATGTACAGACAGCCCGGGCCGGGCGTGGGGGCGACGCTCCCCCGATGGCGAGGCTGCAGCGGCACGAGGCGCAGCTTTGAGGCTGCTGCTGAGTCTATTTGTTTTATTTGTTTGCCGAAAAGGTTTAATTAAACGTTTTGAAGCTCATTTGGATTCCAAAGAGGCCCTCGGGAGCCCCGGTGACCCCATGTGTGACCAGTGGTGCACCCCCGGACTCGCAGCAGCACCAGTGGCAGCACCAGTGGGAGCAGCAGGACACACTGCTGAGCAGCAGGGCCTTTGAAAGCCTTTAGTGTTGCATTTCAGCTGCATTTTGAGGAACAAAAGCACAAATGGCATTGCTTGTTCGCCCACTGCAGCGGAGAGAAGCAGCAACAGCAGCAGCAGGAGCAGCAGCAGCAGCAGCAGCAACTCCTCCTGCCAGCAGCAGCACCAGCAGCCCACGCAGCGACACCACCGCAGGCCTCCAGCGCCCCTAGGGCTTGGACAGTTTTCTCTGTTTGTTTTGGACACGCCTCGGGCTCTCAAGGCTGGCCAAGGGGCCTAGCAGCAGCTGCGAAGTAGCAGCAGCAGCAGCACCAGCAACGAGCCACCCGGCCCCCCTCTTGTCTGCTTACGCTCCCCCCCGCCCCCCCCTGGGATCGACTGCTCCCTTTTGCCTCTAGGGGGGGGCAGGCTGGGCTTTGCATGCAGCAGGGCTCTGGGGCAGCTTGAATTGCTGCAGGGGAAGCAGCAGCAGCAGCCGCCCCCGCTGCTGCTGCTCTTTTTGCTGCCCCAGCTGCTGCTACAGGGAGCCCTTTCGCCCCCAACTTCTTTTGGAGCAGCAGCAGCAAAGTGCAGCAACCACAAAACGCAGCGCCAGTCCGCCCCACGCAGTTTAGAGTTTGACGTGTGAGAGCTGCAGCTGCAGCAGCTGCTGCTGCTGCTGCTTCCGTTGTTGCTGCTGCTGCCGCTGCTGCTGCTTTTAGTGTGCCTGCTGCTGCTGGTGCCGTGCTGCGCGCAACCAGGACATGGCGTGTGGCCGTCTGCTGCTGCAGCCCACGGTCTGCGCTGCTTTGTGCATTCCTGAATTGGTCTTGTCTGTGCTGCTGCTGCTGCTGCTGCTGCGCTTCCATTGCTGCTGCTGCTGCGGCAAGCGCTGCTGTGGGGGCTCCTTCCGGCGCAGCTGTAACCTCATCTGCTGCTTCTGCTGCACCTCTGTCACTGTATTGCTTCAGTGGCTGCAGCAGCTGCTGCGCTTGCGTCAGCTGCCTGGGACGGTGTGTTTGCTGCTGCTGAGACTGCTGCTGTGGCTGCTGCTGCTATTCTTGCTGGCGCTGCAGTTGCTTCTGCCAAAACCCGTGCTGCAGTTGCTGCTGTGGCTGCTGTGGCTGGTGTCGCTGCAGCAGTTTCCAGAGTTGCGGGCGTTCGCGTGGTCGCTGGCGTCGCAGCAGCAGCTGCTGCTGCTGCTGCTGCTGCTGTTGCTGCAGGTGCTTCTGCTGCTTTTATCAAGATGATCCGGAGGCTGTCTTCTTCGGACTTGAAGCTGCTGCCGCTCGGGGAACGAGGCGATCCCCGGGGATCGTTCGATCCCGTGCTGGTCAATCTGCTGTCAATGGGGCTGCATGCAGAAGCAGCAGAAGCATCTGCAGCAAAGCCCTTTGCCCTAGACTCTCCCCGAGGGGGGGCCAGCGCATGCGGCGACCTCTTGTACGAGAGGCAGCAGCAGCAGCAGCAGCTGCAGCAGCAGCAGCTGCTGCTGCAGCAGCAGCAGCAGTCGGCAGGCGTGTTCCTGCTGCTGCAGCAGCAGCAGGAACAGCAGACACTCAGGAGACGCTCCAGCTGCTCCCACACACTTCATCAGTGGCAGCACCAGCTGCATCTGCAGCAGCAGCAGCAGCAGCAACAGCTTTCCCTGCTGCAGACAGGGGACCCGCAGCACAATGTGTGTCTTCGCCGCCGACACAGCAGCAGAGGCGCTGTGGGCTTTGGGGACTGCGGGCTACAGCAGCAAAGGGAGGACTTGTTGAGTTGTTCTCCGTATCATGCTGACACGTGCGCAGCAGCAGCAGCAGCAGCAGCAGCAGCCGCAGCAAACGCCACAGACGCAGCAGCAGCTGCTGCTACTTCTTGCAGTGTGTTGACAATGGAGGACCCTTTTTTCAGTGTAGCAGTAAGTACAGTGTCTCGAAGCCTCCTGTACTTTCTTTACAGCAGCAAGAGTCTGGGGTTGCTGCTGCTGATGCTGCTGCTGATGTTGCTGGCGCTGCTGATGCTGCTGCTGCTGCAGCTGCCGCCGATGATCCTGGTGCTGCTAACGCTGCTGCCGGTGCTGGTGCTGCAACCGCTACTGAGCTGCAGCAAAGGTGCTAGTGGTGGCGGTTGTGGTGGCGGCGCTGCTGCTCCTGCTCCTGCTGCTGCCGCTGCTGCTGCTGCTGCTGCGACTGTTGCAGCGTGAGTGGGTTTGCGTCTACGCGCGTGTGGCTGCTGCAGAGCGGAGACAGAGGAGCAGCAGCAGCAGCGCAGGCAATGGCCTCGCTGCGGCCCGAGGAGACAGAAGGAGATGCTGCTGCTGCTGCTGCTTTTTGTTTTAAATCTCCTTCTTCAGATTGTTCCTTGACTTTGACAAATAACAGCACAAACTCTGTTGCTTCGGAGGCCCCCGCTGCGCTGAGTCCCCAGGTCACTTCCAGCTTGTGTGACTTTCCGCTGCAGCTGCAGCAGCAGCTGCAGCAGCAGCAGCTGCTGCTGCAGCAGCAGTTGCTGCTGCAGCAGCAGCAGCTCCAGCAGCTGCAGCCACCCACTTCTGGCAGACAACAGCTACTTCTGCCACTGCAAGAAGACACAACAATCCCGACACAGCAACAACTCGACAGACAGCAGCAAACAGTCAGTCTGCTGCCCGATGCAATGATAGACCCAGGGCTGCTGCTGCTGCAGCAGCAACAAATACTGCAACAGCAGCAGCAACTGCTGTCTGCCGCCAGCATGGAAGTTGAGCAGGACCACTTATGCGCCGCTGGCTCGCTGCAACAAGAGCAGCAACAAGGGAAGCTGCAGCAGCAGGAGCATCCAGAATGGCTGCTCGGAAACCCTCTGCAGCAGCAGCAACACCAACTGCAGCAAGTAGTATTGCAGCAGCAGCAGCAACTGCAGCAGGTGCTGCTTCACCAGCAACAGCTGCAGCAGCAACTGGAGCAGCAAGCGCTCCAGCTGCAGCAGCACTCACTTCACGGCCAGCACGTCTCGGGCGTGCACGCTGCGGTGCAGCAGCAGGAGCAGCAGGAGCTGCAGCAGGAGCTGCAGCAGCAGGCTTTTGTGCAGCAGCAGCCCGGAGAGGGGCAGCAAGTGCACGAGTCGAAGCTGGGCGGGGGTGAGCTTCCAGAGCTTCCAGAGGCCTCCTGCGCCTTGGCGCAGCAGCAGCAGCAGCAACAACAACCGCAGCATCAGGAGCAGCAGCAGCAGCAGCAGCCCCAGCTGTGGCTCTCTTCAGCGCAGCCTGAAGTGAGCCCCCTCACCGACGCGCTGCAGCTGCAGCTGCAGGAACAGCAGCAGCTGCAGAAGCAGCAGCTGGATGGCGACATGCAGCTGGATAAATGTCAAGGGGACATGCAACTGGAGAATTGCCACGCTGTGCAACAGCAGCAGCAGCAGCAGCAGCAGCAAGCGCATCCACAGCTGCAGCAGCCGCCGCATTCGCAGCCAGTGCGTGAAGTTTCTTCTTCTTTTTCAGAAATGCTCGAGCCTGCAGTGCAGCAGCAAAGACTGAAGCAGCAGCAGAAGCAGAAGCAGCAGAAGCACAGGCATGCGCGGCATGCGCCGCAGCAGCAACACCGCCATCATCTTCAGCAGCGGCAGCAGCAGCAGCAACAGCGGAAGCAGCGGCGTAGCTCCGTCGCTCACGGCAAGCCCTCAAGAAAGCTTGGTGAAGCAGCAGCAGCAGCAGCTGCTGCTGCCGCTGGCAGAAACATCGTGGGGCCCCTCAGGCGGTCACTCAGGTCCAAAAGACTTTCTGCAAAAGGTGTGTACTGCAGCGGGAGCAGCAGCAACAGCAGCAGCAACAGCAGCAGCAGCACGCAGGAAAGAGGTGCTGTAGTGTTTCTTCACCGTGATTTAGTGGTTAGATACGTGGATCAAGACGCGCCGTGCACTGTTGCTCCTGATGCTGCTACTACCACTACTGCTGCTGCTGCTGCTATTGCTGCTGATGTTCCTGCTGCTGCTGCTGCCGCTGCTGTGCCTGCCTGTTACTGCGCGCTTGCCATTGCTGCTACTGCTGTTACTGCTGCTACTGCCGCTACTGCTGGTACTGCTGCTGCTGCTGCTGCCGCTGCTGTGGCTGCCTGTTACTGCGCGCTTGCCACTGCTGCTACTGCTGTTACTGCTGCTACTGCCGCTACTGCTGGTACTGCTGCTGCTACCGCTGCTACTGCTGCTACTGCTGCTGCTGCTGCTACTGCTGCTATTGATGCTACTGCTAGTAGCACTGCTGTTGCTGCTGCTGCTACTACTACTGCTACTACTGCTACTACTGCTGCTACTGCTACTAGTGCTACTGCTGCTGCGGCTGCTGCTGCTGCTGCGGCTACTGCTACTACTGCTGCTACTGCTGCTACTGCTGCTACTGCTGCTACTGCTGCTACTGCTGCTACTGCTGCTACTGCTAGTACTTGTACTACTACTGCTACTGCTGCTACTGCTGCTACTGCTGCTACTGCTGCTGCTTGCTGCTGGGTGCTGCTGCTGCTGCCGTGCTGGTGCACAGAAGATAGTCTGAACTCCTGTGAAGAAGAAGAGGAGTGGCTGCCCCACAAGACTCTTGTTGCAGATCCTGTTGCAGCTGCGGCGGCTTCAGGCGTTCCTGGCTTGTGCTCTGCTGCTAGCGTTGAAGGCAGCAAAGACGCAGCACCAGCTGCGGCAGCAGCAGCAGCTGGAGCAAGGACAGAAGCAGCAGCAGCTGCAGCAGACACAGACGACAGGCTTTTGCTGCAGCTCAAGAGCCTCGTGTGTCCTTCAACTGACCCCAAGACGGCCTCTCCGGTGTCTTCGGTCACACGGGAAGAGTCTTCGCGGGTAGAGCAGCAGCAGCAGCAGCAGCAGCAACAGCAGCAGGAGCCACTCCGACAGCTAAAGCAGGAGCAGCGACAGCAGCAGCAGCAGCAACCGGACGCGTCCGGTGCTGCGCCCGCGTCTAGCGGCGGCCGTAGCAGCTGCGCCGCACCTGGAGTAAGTAACAGCAGCAGCAGGAGCAGCAGCAGCAGCAGTTGCAGTATCCGACTAAGAGCGCACTCAAAGTAGCACAGCGTTAAAGAGCAGCAAGAGCAGCAGCAGCAGCAGTTGCATTCACTATCCGAAGCAAGAGCGCACTCAAAGTAGCATCACCCTAAGAAGCAGCAAAAGCAGCAGCAGCAGCAGCAGCAGGGAGCAGGCACAAGGGCGCACTCAAAGTAGCATCACCTTAAAGAGCAGCAAAAGCAGCAGCAGCAGCAGCAGCGGGAAGCAGGCGGCAGGCGTGTGTTGGCGCTGCTGCAGCGGCAGCTGCCGGAGCTGCGGCGCGGCAGCAAATGCATCCGGGGGGCCCCCCGGGCCACAGTGCAGCAGCTGTACGGCCAGACTTATGACTTGGAGGCCCTCGCGCTGCAGCTGGACGAAACCCACATTGATGACATTGACCCTGGGGACTTCGACAGAAGTTATTCTCAAGGAAAAAGATTTGCTGTTGGCGACTTGGGAAGGAAGCTGCTGCTCGTCGTCGTCAGGGAGAAACTCGAGGTCAGCTGCACCCGCGCTGCGGCCCCCAGCAGCAGCAGCAGCAGCAGCAGCAGCAGCAGCAGCAGCGGCGCCAGCGGCTGCAGCGGCGGCGGCGGCGGCAGCGGCTTGCGGGCACCGCTGCTTCCCACTTTGCAAGTGCTGCAGTGAATGGGTCTTTGCTGCTTTTGTGTCTTCTTTGGAATTTGAACTTTTGGGGTTTTAAATGCAAAAGAAAGTCTGCAGTTATTTGCGCAAGTTCCCGCGTGCTGCGCAGCGCGGCGGGCGGAAATATGCACACTTTCCAGGCAGCAGCAGCAGCAGCAGCTGCTGCTGCTGCTGCTGGTGCTGCTGCTTGGCCACACCGTGAGGGCTGGGGCCAGTTCTCAGAGCTGCATGGGGAATGGTGCATGCGGTGGATTGGCTGCTTGAGAAGGGGGAGAACATCAGTGAACTGCGCAGCAGCAACGGCAGCAGCAGCAGCAGAACTGGCAATTCAAGAACAAGCTCTTGAACTGCCAGTTCTGCTGCTCGCTTTTGCCGAGACAAAGGCACCACCAGCAAAATTTACCGCCTCCAGCCCCATATGTCTTTTTGCCGCTGCTGCTGCTGCTGCTGCTGCTCGCCAGCTGATGGCCTTCAGCTGCCCAAATGAAAAGGCAGCAAATGCACGTGTGAACAGCAGCATGCACTTGTACTGCAGCTGCTGCAGATGGCGAGCTGCTGCTGCATCAGCTAGCTGCTGCTGCTTCAGCTAGCTGGTGTTGCTACATGTGCCCGTGTGTCTGTGTTATGTTTTGAGGCGCATGCGTCAGTTGTCTTGTTGTTGGGTGTATCAGAGTGTGCTGCTGCTGCAGTGTGCTGCTGCTGCTGCAGTGTGGTGCTGCTGAAGCGGGGTGTTCCGTGGCTGAGTGTCGCTGCTGCTGCGGCGGTGGGGTTGTTGTGCTGCTGCTCAGGCGGGGGCATGCGGGCAGCTGAAGTTCTTGACCTTGACAGACCTTTTTCGTTTAGCTTATGAATTGGGTCTTTGGGAGTTTGCGTTGAAGGTGGCGATGGCCTACAGAGTGGGTTGTTTGCGGATCCCCAAGACTGCGCCTGCGCCGCCCGCAGCAGCAGCAGCAGCAGCAGCAGCAGCAGCAGCGCGCCCGGAAGCGGAAGCGGCAGCAGGCGCGGCGCCAAACGCAAACACAGGGCCCAGCCAAAGCTCAGCCAGTGGCCCCACAGAGGCTCCTGCTGCTTCTTTGCTGCTCACAGAAGCTGCAGAGCGCAGCAAGGTTTCTGGCGCTGCAGAGGCGCCAGGATTGGCTGCCGGCAGCAGCGGCAGCAGCAGCAGCGGGACCAGAGGCGGCAGCGGTGAGGCAATGCTGCAGGATGGTCCCGAAGCGCAGGTTGTGCTGCAGCGGAGCAGCAAACGAAGGCTGCTCCCGTCCCCCGCTGAGGGAGACAGCGGCAGCAGCACCAGCAGCACGAACAGCAGCAAAAGCAGCAACAGCAGCAGCCGGTCCCGCCCAGCGCATTCTGCAGCTGCGGAGAACACTTCCAGCTGCGACAGAAAGAGCCCCTTGGACTTGCTCAGGTCCGTCGGGGTCCATGATCAATAGCTAGCTAGGCATCTAGCTAGCTAGCTGCACTGCGTAGCAAGCAAGCCGCAGTAGCTAGCTAGGCAGGAGGTAGCTAGCTGCCAGGCTGGCAGCTGCAACAGCGACGGAGCAGCAGCAACTTCGCTAACTAGCAAGCAACACAGCTAGTCGGCCTAGCTAGCCAGCTAGCTAGCTGGCAGCCAGAAGACACGCGGCAGAGTGCAGCAGCAAGCAAGCTCTGTAGCAGCCCCTGCTAGCGAGCAAGCTACTTTCATTTGGCCTCGCAGCAGCAGCAGCAGCAGCAGCAGCAGCAGCAAGGCTCTCAGACTCCCCGCTAGGGAGTTGAGGCTTTGAGCTCGCTAGGTGACAGCAGCAACGACAGCAACGCCTGCAGAAGCAAATCTGCAGGGCCAGAAACAGCAGCGGGAGCTGCAGCAGCAACAGGAAGCACAGCTAAGCAGCAAGTGGACTTGAGCAGCAGGGGGCGCTGCAACAAGCAAAGAAGCAGAAGCTACTGACGGGCTGCAGCAGCAGGAACAGCTGCTGCTGCAGGAGCGACCGCGGTAAGGCTGTTCTTCCTTTATGTTTCTGGAGAAAGGCGATTTTGCTGCTGCGGCAGCAGCAGCAGCAGCAGCAGCAGCAGCGCCGGCGGCTCAGAGGGCTCAAGTTGTTTTGATTGGGACAAAAGTTGTGCCCGTTTCCTCTCAGTGCTGCCTCTTTGCTCCATGCATATTTTTAAATGTTTTTATTTTTAATTGCTTGGTTTTGGCCCGCAAGCAGCAAAGCCGCAGCGGGCTGGGGTGCATGTACACTTGGTGGGTGCGCAGCAAAGACTGCACCATAGGGTGTGGGGTGTACGTACAGCTCGCGTATGTACACCTGTTTGTGGGCGTTTATCAGTTGAATATTTCTGTTTAATATTTCCTTCTTCGGGCATTTCGGTTGTTTTCTGAAGAGCTGTGCGTCAGGTGTATGTACAGCTGCACTTGGCGACACAGAAACAAAACAGCAGGGCCGCCGCGAAGAAGACAAGCAACCCTCGAGTGCGCATGCATGCACACGTGCATGCGCGCATGCATGCATGCACGCATGCATGCGCACGTGCATGCGCACACGCATGCATTCACGCACGCATGCATGCATGCGCGCATGCATGCACGCATGCATGCGCGCACGCATGCGCGCATGCATGCGCGCATGCATGCATGGACGATGCACCCACGCACGCGTGCGTTCGCGCATGCATGCATGTATGATGCATGCGCGATCGCACGCATGCATGCATGCATACATGCACCAGCTGTGGGCATGTGGGGTCCACAGGAGTAGGGGAGTTGCTGCCTGCCGAAGTATAGCAGTAGAGCGTTTAGTATGTGTGCGACTTTGCGCAGCCGCACGCGAAATAAGAATTAATGAGTCTACATAAAACTCGAAGTTGCATGCGCAGCAGCGCATGCAACTGAGGCGCGCATGCATGCGCATGCATGCGCATGCACGCGCATGCATGCGGCCTAGAGTAACTTCCGCCACATTTTGCATGCATGCTGCGAAATGCTCTTGCTTTCTTCTGCTTCTTTTCGCCCCCTTTCGTGTTAAAATAATGTTCACATCCGGTGCAGTTTTGTCGAAGGGATTTGCGCCGCCTTGCTGCCGGGGAGCAGGCGCTTCGTCGCTGCTGCTGCTGCGCCTGCTGCGGCCGGCTCGCAGCAGCAGCGACTGCTGCTGCTGCTGCTGCTGCTGCTGCAGCGACAGGGTGCCAGTTTAGGTGGGATGTGCAGACTGCAGGCACTTTTGTTCTGCGAGGACCACCCCTGGGCTGACCAGCTGCGGCATCTGCTGCTCAGTGCAAGCAGCAGAAGCAGCAGCAACAGCTACAGCCCGCCGCTGCAGCGGCAGCAGCAGCTGCTGCAGCGGGGCGGGGCAGCTGCTGCAGGCAGCCAAGCGACTCTGCATGCAGTGGCTAGCCTCTGCTGCGTGGCTGCTGAAGTTTAATTTAAACTTCACTAGGCAACGCAGGTCCTCTATAAATGTTTTAACGCAGCGCGTCAAGGCGGCGGTGCGGCTGCTGTAGCTCCTCCTGCTGCAGCTCCTGCTGCTGCAGCAGCAGTTGCTGCGCTCGCAGCCTGCACTCCTCCAATAGCCCTAGAGTCCCTTCCCCCTACCGAGATCTTCTGTCCCTGCTGCTGAAGCAGCAAACACAGCTGCGACGGATGTGCAGCAGCTGTGGCTCTGCTGCAGCAGCAGCAAAGAAGCTGCTGCTTATTATCCTGCAGCAGCTGAAGTTCCCGCTTCAGCCTTTGTTCCACATCTTGTTTCCAGACCCTTTCGGGTTCTCATCCTGCAGCAGCGAGGCATGCGGAAGCAGCAAGAGCAGCAGCAGCTGCAGCAGCTGCTGCTGTGACTGCAGCAGCAGCAACCCCGGCGAGCAGCTGCTGCAGCGACTGCCGCAGCAGCAACCGCGGCGACTGCACCTGCAACAACCGCAGCAAAAACCGACAGCAGCAACGCCTTCTCACCTTCCAGTCGTCCCACTTCCTTGCTTCCAGCTCCTCTGCTTCCTTCGCCTGCACAGCAGCAGCAGCAGCAGCAACAGCAACAACAGCAGCTGCAGCAAAAGTGAAACGAAGCAGCAGCGCAGCAGCAAAAGCAGCCACTGCAGCGGCAGCAGCACTCCAGCCTAACCCACCGCCTGCCGCGCCTCCCCCGTGGGAAACTCCACCACCACTTTCGGCTTCGCAGCTCCAATTTGCCTTCTGAGCCACACAGGAAGCTAGCTGCTGCTGGTGCTGCTGCTGCTGCTGTTGCTGCTGCTGCTGCTGGGGCCACAGCTGAATTTCTAGCCCTGCCGGCTAGCTGAAGTGTGTGCTCATGAGCGACGCTGCCGCACGAGCTCATACGCACAAGGCCGCCTAGCTAGCTGGCTAGCTAAATAGCTAGCTAGCTAGCTAGCTAGTTGGTTAGGTACAGAGATAGCTACTCAGGTGTGTGCGTGGCGGCGAAACGGCTAGCTGTCAGCTAGCTGGGTAGCTAAGCGACTAGCTAGCTGGCTAGCTTGATAACTAGCTAGCTGGGTGGCTAGCTGGCCAGCTAGCTGGCTAGCTAGCTGGGTAGCTAGCTGGCTACTTGGCACTGACGTCTCCATTTCCATCTCAATGTCCGCACACTCCGCGAGGCTCATTGTCGGGAGATCTGAGGAGTCCAAAGAGCAGAAGGACAACAGCTAGCTAGCTAGCTAGCTAGCCAGTTCGCTAGCTAGCTAGCTGGCTAGCTAGCTAGCTGGCGGCGCAGGTGTCCGGCCGAAATGCCCTAGCAGTTGCATATCCTACGCCATCTCGCACTATTGCAGCAGCAGGAGCGGCAGCAACAGCACCAAACAGCAGCAGCAGTGTGCAGCAGCAGCAGCAGCGGCAGCAGCAAAGTGAACCAGCAACAGCAGCAGGTCCATCGACGCTGACTGTGGGAAGGCTGGAAGACTCGAGAACGGATGAAGTTGCGAAGCTCTTCTTTGTTCCTCTGCAGCAAAGATCAGAAGCAGCAAACACATTGGCTGCAGCAGCAGCAGCAGCAGCAGCAGAAGCAGCGGAAGCAGCAGCAGCAAATCGTCTCGTCCCAGCAGCAAACAGGAAAGCTCACAAAAGTTGCTGTCCAAGGCCGCTGCGAAGACGCAGCGGGCTCTGGGGGCTTCGGAGCAGCTGAAAACCCAACAAGCGAGGCAGCAAACCCTAAACCCTAAACCCTAAACCCTAAACGCTGAAGCCTAAACCCTAGACTCGAAACCCTAAACCCTAGACCCTGAACCCTAAACCCTAAACCCTGGATGATGCTGTGGAGCTTCAACTCACAGCTGCGGGAAACGGCTGCCTGGTTATTTGATAAGAGCCTCATCAGCATGGGGGTCTCCTGCAACGCCAAACCCTAAACCCTAATCCCTAAACCCTAAACCCTAAATCCTGAACCCTAAATCCTAAATCGCTAATCCGAACAGCAACACATTCAGCTACCGACACTCTCCAACAGCGCGAGCTCCTCCTTCCAGTATAAGAAGGCAAAGTAAACCCTAAACTCTATATCCTAAACCCTAAACCCTAAACCCTAAACCGTAACGCCCTGAGCCCTTGACTCTCATTCTCCCCTGCCGCACCTGCCGAATGAAGTCAAGCTGCTTGAAGCTTTCTCTGGTGCACCTGCATCAACAACATAAGAACTGCAGCAGCAGGACTGTAGCAGCAGTACTGCAGCAGCAGCACTGCAGCAGCAGCACTGCATCAGCAGCGCTGCATCAGCAGCACTGCAGCAGCAGTACTGCAGCAGCACCTTTGCAGCAGCAGGACTGCAGCAGCCAGAAGCAAAACGCCTACAACTGCAGCAACAAGAGAGATAATCGCCGTTCCTCCTCAGAGCTCCATGCTCCCCCGCCCGACTTCTGAGACAGCAGTGCCTGCAGCAGCAACAGCAGCAGCAACAGCAGCAGCAGCAAGTCCTCAGGGTGTGCGCTGTGGCGGCTGCAGTGCAGAGAATTTTGCCCTCTGTTTTTTGCTGTAGCAAGCAGCCGCGTGGAGAACAGTGCTGCGGTGCTGGTGCTGCAGTCGCTGCTGCAACTGCTGCTGCCGTCGCTGCTGCTGTGGCAGCTGCAGCAGCGTGCCGTCGCTGCTGCTGTGGCAGCTGCTGCTGTGGCAGCTGCTGCTGCTGCTGTTGCTGCTATACCTTAACAGAATTGCTCAGTTGCTTCTCCGCCTTGGCTTCCTCCACAAGTTTCGTCCTGTAGCAGCAGCAGCAGTAGCAAAAGCAGCAGTGTACGTCCTTGAAGCAGCAGCACGGCCGCCTAGCCACGCGCACGCAGCAGCAGCAGTAGCAGCAGCAACAGCAGCAGCAGCAGCATGCCTGCGGGCTGCGGGATCGGCGATCCCGGGAGCAGCAGCGGGAGCTGCTGCTGGATTTGCTACAGCATCAAGAATGGCCTCGAGGCGATTTATTTCTTCTTTGTTGAGAAGTTCAGCAGACTCCAGGCAGTGCAAATACTCCAAAAAATATATCTGCAGCAGCAGCAGCAGCAGGAACAGCGACATCTGCAGCAGCAGCAGCGCCATCTCCAGCAGCAGCGAGAGCGGCAGCAGCAGAAACAATGGCGGCAGCAGCAGCAGCAGCTACCAGAGTGCTCCTAGCGGTGCACTGCCCCAGGGCGAGCTGAATTGTAAGCAGCAGCAACAGCAGCAGCAGCAGCAGCTGCTGCTGCTGCTGCTGCTGTAGCACCTGGCCTCTAGGGTTTAGGGTTTACCTGAGCCTCACGGAGGCGCAGCGGCCGCTCCTGCAGCTGCCCGGGCCTTTCGAGGGTCATAAGGCCCAGGCAATACGGTAGCAGCAAAAACCTAAACACAAAACCCTAAACCCTACACCCTAAACCTAAACCCTAAACCCCTGGCCCTGAGCCCTGCTGCCAACGCCCGAGTTCTCCCTTTGGTTGGAACAGCAAATGAAACAAACGAACTTACAAGGAACCTCTGGCTCTAAACCCTAAACCCTAAACCCTAAACCCTGGGTCTAAAGTGCCATGCAAGGGCCTCGAGGGCCTGGGGGGTTTAGGCTAGGGTTTAGGGTTTAGGGTTTTTGCTTGCCTAAGGACTGAGGAAGAAATATCATCTGCAGACTCGTTGGGGGAGATGAGCCGCAGGTGTCTGTACACCTTGTGCAGCAGCAGCAAACACCGGTAGAGATTGAGGCTCCAGTCTTCCTGCTGCTCCTTGCTGTTGCTGCTGCTGCTGCTGCTGTTGCTGCTGCTTTCTGCGTCTGAGTCGAGGGACATTCCGGTGGTTTGTTGAAGCCGCAGCAGCAGCTCCTGCGGGGGCTCAAACGAGCTGCTGCTGCTGCCGCTACTGCTGCTGCTCTCTTCCCAGAACAGATTTGAGTGCTGCAGCAGAAAAGCCTTGAGACATATATCGAAGAGAGTGCCGAAGGCGTCTTCGCCTTCGCCAGCGTGTGTCTGCTGTTCTGCTCCTGCCATTTTGCTGCTGCTTGTGTTCCTGCTGCTGCTGCTGCCGCTGCTGCCGCTGCTGCTGCTGCTGCTGCTTTCCCTGCGTCTCCGCTGCACTTCCCAGCAGGAGAATCACTGTTTTGTGGGCAGATCCGGCGGCTGCTGCTGCTGCTCCTCTCGTTGGAGGTAGCCGCTGCTGCGGCTGCGGCTCCTGCTGGGGGCGCTGCTGCTGCTGCCGTGGGTGCTGGCGCTAATTCTTGCTGCTTCAGGGCTATTGTTCAAATGCGCTTCGCAGCAGCAAATGAGGAAGCCCTGCACACAGGGGCAGGCCTGGGGTGCATGCAAGCGGGGGAACTTCCCCAGCTGCTGCTGATACTGCTGCTGCTGCCGACTCGCCCGCCAGCAGCAGAGATACTCTGGCGCTGCGCCTGGGCCGCCGAATCGCAGAAACAATCAAAACGGCATACAGCCACACTGCCCCCAGGGATGTAATAAAAACTAAATTTGAAAAAAACGCACAAGACGCTGCTGCGTTGGTGAGCGAGACTGTCTTGCTGCAGCAACAGCGGAACGATCTGCACAGCAGCAGCAGAGGCAGCAGCAGCAGCAGCCGCTGCTGCTGCCGCTTCCTGCAAGCACCGCAGCCAAGGCTACGGTGGGGATGTCTTGACGAGTGTTTTCATTTCGCGGTGTATGTACACCACACGAAACGTCTCAGTCCACTCACTGGGTGAGCGCAGCGGCAGCTGATTGCAGCAGCAGACTTCCTGCAGCAGCAGCGGCAGCAGCAGCTGCTGCTGTTGCATGTCCCGCAGCAGCAGCAGCGGTTAGGTGACGGGCGTCCGCTCCTTTTTGCAGAATTTACCTGTGGAACGCGCGTAGGAGCAGCCGCAGCAGTTGCTGCAGTTGCTGCTGTTGCTGGTGTTGCTGCCGCAGCGATACGGGAAGAGGAGTTGCAGCAGCTGGAGCCTGCAGCGCCTGTAACCACCTATAGACTTCAATGGGCGCGCGTCCCGCCGGCAACGGGCTGAGACATCACCAAGTGTCCAGTGCTGCAGCTGCACCGGGAGCTCCGCAGCAGCAGCACCAGCAGGAGGAGCAGGAGGAGCAGCAGGAGTAGCAGCTGCCTGCACTGCCCCGGGCAGCTCTCAGCCGGCCGGACCTCGCAAGCGCCGCTCCCCCTCCCCCGCGTCCCCCGCTGCATGCCTCTTTCTCCCGCGCAGCAGCTGCAGCAGAGCCCTCGGCAGCAGCAGCTGCAGCACGGCCCTCCGCCGCCGCAGCTGCAGCACGGCGTCTACCCCGCTCCTCAGCAGCACCCCCAGCGTCCCCGCAGCACCAGCAGCACCGAAACCCCCACCCCACCCCCATCCCCAGCAGCAGCAGCAGCAAACGACCCCGCGCGCACAACGCCTCCCCCTGAGCAGCAACCCGCGCCCAGCAGCAAACCCCCCCCCAGCAGCAGCAGCAGCAGCAGGAATGGCGTTCGCGTGCGGGGTGAGCCGGCACTTCTTCGCGCGTTCGGAGCGCGTGAAGGCCGTGGCGCTGCACCCGCGGGAGCCGCTGGTGGCCTCCGCGCAGTACGACGGCCGGCTGAAGGTGCACAACTACTTCTCGCTGCAGCTGGTGGCCGCGCTGGACGTGTCGGCGCTGCCGCTGCGGGCCGCGGCCTTTCTGGCGCCGCGCGACTGGCTCTTGTGCGCCGGCGACGACTGCGCGCTGCGGGCCTTCTCGCTGCACTCGCAGCAGAAGGTGGCGGAGCTCCTCAACGCCCACAAGGACTACATCCGCCACCTCGCTGTCCACGCCCACAAGCCCCTCGTCCTCTCCAGCAGCGACGACATGACCGTCAGTGCCGCCTTCCGGGGCCAGGCTTGGGGCGGTGGGGGGTTGGGGGTTGCGGGAGCTTTGGGGGGGGTTGCGGGGTTGCGGGAGGTTTGGGGGAGGGTTCGGGGTTTGGGGGAGGTTTGGGGGGCTGCGGGAGGTTTGGGGGGTTGCGGGAGGTTTGGGGGAGGGTTGCGGGAGGTTTGAGGGAGGTTTTGGGGGTTTGAGGGGTTTACACGAGAGTTTTAGGGGTTTTGGGGTGGAAGTGAGAGTTTTAGGGGGGTTGGGGTCTAAGTGAGGGTTTTAGGGGGGTTGGGGTTGAAGCGAGGGTTTGGAGATTTACGCGAGGGTTTGGGGATTCACGCGAGGGTTTGGGCGAGGTTTGAGGGGTTAGGCGAGAGTTTAAGTGTTTACGCGAGGGTTTACGGTTTTGGGGAGGCTTCAGGAGCTAAGGGCGGCGGAGGTTTTAGGGTTTAGGGTTTAGGGTTTAGGGTTTGTGGGCAGATAAAGCTGTGGGACGTGGAGGATGGCTGGACGCGTCTTTGTTCATTTGAAAGCCACGCCCATTATGTCATGCAGTCTGTTTGGAGTCCCCGGGACCCGACGATTTTCGCCTCTTGTTCTCTCGACAGGCGAGTCCCAAACCCTAAACCCTAAACCCTAGCTCGGCGGCGGGACAGCAGCGTGCAGCAGAGGGGGAAGCTCTGGGCGGGTCTCCGAGGCAGCGTTTGCTGCTGCTAGCGGGTCGCGAGGCGCGCGCAGGGCCTCCGCGAGGACTTAAGGCTTAGGGTTTAGGGTTTAGGGTGTAGGGTTTAGGGTTTAGGGTTTAGGGTTTGCGGGCCGCAGGTCAATCAAGGTGTGGGGCATAGGGCCCATAGGCTCGGGGGCCAAAACTGCAGCCAATGGGCCCCCCGCTGTTGTCACCAGTGCCCACTTTTCTTTGCTGGGCCACGAGCGAGGAGTCAACACAATTGCCTACTCGACGTGAGCCCCGCAGCAGC